TGCTAGAATGTTTTAATTAGTTGCAGCATAATTCCAAATTTAGTAGTGTCAGTTAGAATAACACCTTTTAGTTTGACTATATCCTCATTTTTATGATAACATATGAAGTGAAATGTTATATTTTTTTAATAGAATTGCAGATGTTACCTTTGAGAAAACGACAAATGTCCTCAAGTTGCGGAATGTTGTTTTCCGAATAGCCACAATGTCTTTCTAAGAGTTCGAAGTTATCAAGAAATTCTTGGCAAGCATGTCTAGGATATATCTGTTGTTCTTCTAAGCTTTAATGAACTAAATGCGATAAAATCCACTTCTTGTGCAGCTCGCGAAGTTTGCGATAAATAATGCCCCAAGTCTTCTTTTCACTTTCGGTATAGTCAATGCGAGGAATTGGTTCGCCACTAAAAATATTAGCGTTTACTGATTCAGCCGCCAACTGCTGCAGTTCCACAATAATTGAAAAATGTTAACTTACTGTTTATAGTTCAAAGCAATGTCAGCGAACATCATTCGCCTTTTGCGATAATCAGGGTCCTTGAAACCCTGAAAAAAGAAAATTGAAAGTTTTCCCAAAACAAGAAGACTTATACAAGAAATTTCGTTTTTGGAAGATTATCTCTGTTTATAAATTGACATCTAATCTCTTTTTTTCTATTTTCTTCTCATGGGTATATCGATATATTGGTTATCCTTAAAGCAACTGTTTCAGCGCGAACCTTACACGCTCGGTATCACTGAGCATGCTTCTGAATAGTATTGTCTCAAAATTGCAATGTTTATTTGTCTATCATTTCCCGGGAAGTTCCCTTTGAATCTATCTACTAACCATTCACCATTCTTCAAATTGACTTGATTGACTTTGATTCATAATGGTCTATTCATAAATCGGCTTGAGCTTTCGCGGCTTTTTGTGCAGTACAATGCCGCTCATAACTTCTGTTAAACGTAATTTCACATGAAAATCCGTCTCGAAGCATTGTCTCTTACGTCTTTCAGAATGGATATTTACGGTGTCAGACTCAGCTCGGACGAACGTTATGGTATGGTACAGCACAGTAACACTAAGTACACTATAGTAACATATAAGGTGTACAGTAGAT